GCCCCGCGGCTGCAGGTGCCCTGCCTGGGCAGGAGGGACTCGGACCACCTTGGGCTCCTCGAAGGACTCCAGAGAGGGTGAGGGAGGGCCGGTTCCTCAGCATAAATCACAAAGAAGCTGTTTAATCCATCATTTTCAGCCTCAAGGCTGACCCCCGCAATGGGGTCACCTGGGCTGCCCTGTCAAAGGATGCACAAAACAGGCAGGACTGAAGAAAACCAATCAATCACACATATTTGAAAAAGTTGGGCTCAGAAGATGAACAAGCAAAATCCCTCACCCATTTGCAATGACTGATCTCATGCCACTTCAGCTCTTCCCACAATACTGCAGGATCTCATACGAAAATAAAAATAAAAGTGTGAGTTTGTTAATGCTCACTTTTGCGAATGAGAGATTAATCAGTGGACACACACAGGTCCACAGATGGGCTCTCTTCCCACCTCTAAAAAAACCTGACCTGAACACACAGAGTAAATACAGCGGCTCTTTTTCTTTTCTGACCTGTAAGAGTTTGACAAGCCAAATTAATATTAAAATAGTATCACTACAGCACCTGTTGCCACACAACTGCCTTAGGATATTTCATTTTTGTAGGACTTACTAAATGCGAATTTTCCATTTGAAACTATATGGCTCTTGTTTAATTTTCATGTATTCATCAGAATCCGGATACACCCCAAAAACACTGGCTGTTTACCTAATAGTCACAGCGGGGAAAGCATGACACCAGTATTTAGACAGAGATTATTTTTCAAACCTAAATTGGAACACAGTGGGTGGAATCTAATACCCTGCTCCTCACACTACAAGGCTAGTCTCCACTACTTTTTGATCAAGATATTTTTCATACATCAGTAGGAAATGCAGGATTTACAACTTCACCGACAAACCAATCATACACTCGAGCCCAAGTATGACTTTGGAAAGTCACATTCTTACGTTCACACCCTTATTTTTACTTGCAAAAGTCAAATACTGGATTTAACTTTAATTCGTTAACAATTTGGCAATTAGAACCTATACAGTTAGACTAGCACACAAACATATATCCACCAGTCCTGACACCAACACCACTTAATCAACCTGTCTTTTAGGAATCTGTGTGAAAGCGTTGTATGAAGATGAAGGAAAAATAGGCTGTAAATCAGCGGCAAGTGTTTTTTAATCACAGAAACCAAAACTCTTAACAAACTGTTCTTTTCGGTTAATATAAGTAAGCCAAAGGCTTTTATGAACCTATCCAGACCCGCCCACTGTCCTCACTTACAAATTTTATCATGTGTTTTATTTTAGCTTGTGTGGCAGTTAGAGAACATAAGGCGCACAGTTAAGAATGTGAAGTTGTATAAATTGCTAATTTTGACTTCAACAAGGCGCCTTAAAAGGAGGGCTCAGTACTCTGTGCCATATTGTACCGTTAAGGCATTTAATAAACTGGTATCTGAGAGATGTACCTGAGCTAGGCGTGACTGCATCATGTTTTATCCAGCCTACAATTAAAGAATCTGAATTAAGTAACAATGTGGCTGGCCTTCCCAACAAATTACTTATTTCTTCTGTAAATGAGGTGTCTCCAGACATTAACCTCTTATTTAGTTTAGACTATGCAGCCTCTCAGCAATTAAAAGCTACAATCTGTTGTTCTTGCTTTACGCTCCTTTCCCCACCCTCCACAAAAAGCATCTAGCAGTGCCAAAATCACATAATTGACATAAGTACACTGTGTTAAGCATGCTGCCAATAAAGAAATGCCCCAAGGTCTAATATATTTGGGTTTTTTTAAAACAGAATACAAGATTTTCTTAAAGGCAACTTCCCCCTAGCTTTTGCAGTGAGTTCTAAGAGAGACAAGAAAGACTAAAAGGAAGCAGTTCCCAATCTCATTTTAAACTTTGTCCTTTTCTTACACCATCGAACAAGGTTACCTCTGTGTTTTTTTTTTTTTGGCTTCCTGGTAGACAGAAGTTACGACAGCCTTCTGGTCACTACAGCCCTACTGCACAACAAAAGTTCACAAAGTAGACGTGAGTAAAACGATGCAGCGGTTTATTGTAAAAAATGGTAATACCTTTATCCTTTAAAACATTCCTGCCAGCTGGGTGGTGCAAAGGAGACGCTTCAGAGCTGTGCCCGGATTTTGAAGGAGAGGAAAGCGGAGTGTCTCCCTGCGCACATAGGGGAAGGACACCTCCTCTGTGGTGCTGTCCTTCTTCTTGGTTTTCTGTGAGGTTGTCAAGGGAGATGGTTGCACTGCTAGCCACGGGGGACAGGGAGGAAGCACCAGAATCTGATGCTGGTGAGGACGCTCTCACGCATAAGGGCAGTGGTGATTTTGAAATGTGCATGGGACTACTGTGACTGTTTGGCGGCTGTTGGTACAAGAGATTATAAAGCAGGTTATACCATTTAGTAACCAATCAGAGCAAGGTTTCCTTTGAACATGCAATTGTTTTATTCGCTATTTAGCCTTCTATTTGTACGAAGCGCTTTAGCGATTCATGCCGTTACCTTCTGACACCACAAACAGCGTTGTTTATTGGTATTTGCTTTCAGACAGAAGTCAGAATACGACAAAACAACGAGTGAGTATCGTATCGTGTTAACAAATTCACAATTAGAGAAATGCACGACTCGAATTTCTTTCCCCTTCTGCATACATGAAAGGACCCAGTCTCCATTATAAAGCACACAGAAAGCAAAAGGTCCAGGATCCCTGTCAAAAAAACCACACAATGAAACAAAAAAACCAGGTGTGCTGACTCAAAGGAGACTGGACTTGTACGTCACTCACGGACACTCGCCACGGAGGAATAAATACTGCCTGTGCTACAGCCAAAGGACAAACACGGAGGATAAAATGGCTTACAGGGGCAACCTAGCCCTCCACAGGAAACCTGAAAGAGAGGGTGGAGTCCTTCTCACCTTTCGTTCAAGGCTGTCTTCTCCATCAGTTGAGCTGATGCTGTCGTACAGCCGTGTTCTGGAAGGTCTCTGCCGCTTGTTCTTCACTGAAAGCTGAGCTCGAGTCTTCAGAGCTTTGGAGTCCAGTCGCTCCGTTTCTGGCACGGCTTCATTGAAATCTGTATGGGAACATGATTTGAAGCTATTTAACAGACGAATCTTTCACTGCTTTCTCCTGAGACAGGACCTCCAATTGAAAGTACACACACTTTGCACATTTTACTTCCACCTGTATCTTCATAGTAAAAAAAATGTTATTTGTATAAACCATTAACAAGTTCATCTGTGCAGTTTCAGCTAACGCACAGCTAAGATTCAACCGCAGATATTTAAAAATTCAGTGAATGCTTCCTGCTGTCACGTGAAGGACCACACAAAGCCAGCTGTACTCGCCCGGGAGGCAGGTCCACTTAGGCTCCCTCAGAGGAACCCGTGTGAGCTCGGCCTGCAGAGAGTCCTCCTCCACCAGGGCACAAAGCAAAGGAGTCCTCCTCTCCCTGTCCTTTGACAGACACTTCCTAGCATCGGGATGAATACACCAGTGTAAGGGGCGACCAATTAATTTATCCCCAATCCTGCCCTTTTAAGCCACCTGACAGACTGGACTGCCTTTTTTTTCCCCCAGCTGCCCCACTAAGCATCTCTCTTGTAACGTCGCCAGTTTTGCAGGCTGCTCAATGCATTATGAAAGAAGTATTTAGCGCTGCCTTCAGGCTGCTTTACGTTTTATCATAATCAGAATGGCTTACAAATTTAAAGAACGTGGCTTGTTCTCGTCTGTACTGAATGTCCCCCAAAACAACCCTCTACAATACATGCAAGTTATGAGCAAGCAATGTCCGCAGTGACAGAGAATGACACAGGTAGTATCCAAATAACCAGATCTGTGACTGGATTTCTTTACAGGCAGCCTTTCACAGGATTATGGAAGAAATGTGAAACTTAACTCTTTTGGATCTATAGAGAAACAGGTTGCTTACTCTGTCCCACTAGTGATGGAGCAGAGAGGAATCCCAGTCTTCCTCTGACTCTGCTGTTGAAGATGTACGTGGCAATATGAAGTGCCCCCATTGCTCACCCCAATTCTTCTGCAAGTAAAAGCATCTTACTATGAGCACCTGCAAGTCTCCTTTGTTACTTTCTCCCTTGCCACGCTGTCCTCAGAACCATAACCCTGTGGTTCCTTCAGACTCCTAACATTATAAACTCAGGTAAACTTCAGTAAATCATCTCTTGTCACCACCAATCATGCTCCCCTACACAGAGACTGGTAGGAGTGACCTAACACACACACAAACACAGCCTTGCCTCGCCTGCACTTGACTCGATATATCAGAAGATGCTCTGAGAAACCCCTTCCCTTAGGCAGGAGTCCAGGGGACATGGTCACTGCCATCATTATCACCACTTACTGCAGTTGGCTGGTTCCAGCTTTCCAAGGGCAACCTGTTTTGGCAAAATCATTAGCACGACAGTGTTACAGCAGGAAGAACCAGCCAGAGACGAAAAGAATTTTCACTGCAAACAGCTGTCAGTGATGTTGCATAAAGTGTATCGTGACAGTGAAAAGGAAATTAAATTACTCTATCTAGAAGGTCCGTGCAAGGCACCCTGAATCACAGCTTTTGAAGGCAGAAATGGGAAGGCCACGATCTGCACAAGAGGGAAAGGACTCTGGTTCTCCCTGGTTAGGGATATGACTGTATTATGTGGAATGGGACACAGACTTTTAGATCGGTCCTTATTCTGATGTAATAGCCTGCACCAAAGAACAAGCTCACACAGCATCAGCAGGGGCCTCTCTCCTTTCCTCCAGCAGGTGTTTGACCACTTGACTCCAACGGGCTTCCATCTGAATTACTATGTCCCACTGTGGAGTGGGAAAGAGCTTGCCTGTCCTCCCACTGTTTTCCATTATATAGACAGACAGATTTCAAAAGCTCCTTCTGTGAATGGACGCATCTCTGGGTATCCCAAGGCACCCAGAAAGTACAGCCATCAAAGCGGCTTGAGCAAATACAAAGTCGGCACCAGCACTGAACTGTTTCGTTTTTCAAACCACCGAATCCTTCCAGCAAACAGCCTGATTTCTCTGCTGCCGACACAGCTCATGACCGCTAAACCAGAAAGCTAAAACGCGCTTTACCTCTTCTTTTGGATTCTCAGAATAAATCACACATTTGGAAAAAAACCACAGACCTCAGGCTTCGAGTAATCCCCAGCAAAGCAAAGGAAGAACTCTGTGGGTGATACCGGTTTTGATTTTCTCCTTCCAACTCCCACTGCTATTACTGGCAGCCCCTCAAACTCCGTGTGAGGTTGGGTTCCAGCCCGAGGAGCCGTGCAGTCGGGCACAGGAGTAAGAGCCACGGCCGGAGCCCCTGCGGTGGCAGGGACAGCTCGGCTCCTGCGGACCTGACTGTCCAACCACCTCCACTGATTCTTCCCACATCGAAGAGACGGCGATGCCACGCAAAAACGTAATCCACCCCTCAGATCACGTTGAAGCAAAAAAACATACTTGGTTATCATTTCAACTAAAATATGTATCGCTACGTAACCTGGTTTGGTTTGGGGTTTTTTTTGAGGGAAGACAGACCAGTCTGATCCAGGCTTCGGAGACTCAGATACAAAATTCGCTGGAAAAGGTTATGGAAGCCAAAAAGTGCTACCGCATGTCTAGGGACCTCTGTTTAAATAAAGGGCTTTTCTTCTTCTCTTGTTAAAAACAGAAATCCAGCCCGGAATCTAAAGTCTTAACTATGCTACTTCTGCTCACAAACAAATCACTGCCAATTGTCTGCCTTTCCTAGTAAATAGTTTGGGTTTGTATTCGCGTTAAACCTGGGTTTAAACCCACAGATCATCTATGCTGATTCTCAGAAGTACTGAACACTGCGAATATTTCTCCAGGGGAATGTGTTTGCAGTGGACTCTCAATTGAATTGAACTCAATGAACAGCAGCTCTTGGAATATGCAAATTTTTGTGCAAATATATCAAATGAAAAATACACTTTGAAAGTAATGACATATAACGCTATACAAAGAAGTCTGAAATTTTCAGAAAGAATTTTACAAAGATTTTTTTTTTCTACATGTAGAAATTCCTCAATTTCAGCTCTTGAGCCATAGATGTCTGTTGACACCGTTACAACAGCAAGTGCAAACATGATTTTTATGAGTCAGGTAAGGAAAACACACTTTCCTCCCCTGATGTAAACTACTGAAAGGGTTTTTGTTAACAACATGGCTCAGTTTTAAATATTCTGTAACACTTACTCAGTCTCTATGGCAGCCATACAGACTTTCTTGTCATCCTGAGTGCTTTTGTGAACGTGAGAGGTTTCAGTATAATAAACACTTGCTAGAAAGAGACCGCTCTGTGAAGATTTGTGGAAACCAATTCCAGAAGGTCTGCGTATCACTCAAATATCCCTTCATCAGGACTGGCTCCTTTTTATACACATTGTTAAAAATGTAATTAATATCGATTTGTGTGTAGAGCAATACTCAGTTTGGGTCTGCACATGAAATAACTGCTAAAGTATCAATTTTAATAAAGTATCTCTGTGCTTGCTAGAAGTTAATCTATTTGATAACACAATGCATTTTATTTCACCAAAGAAATAAATTATATTATAGTCCATTTAAAATGAAAGCCTGTAAAGGAGTCTGGTGCTCCCTTGTCAGAATCCCAACACCTCCAACACCTGATTTCACAGATGTTCCTCTAAATACACAGTAAATATTGCCCATGCCAAACAATTTTGTTCCGAGGCTGTGGACCTAAAATTCACTTTAAGTCTGCACATACTTCAGGTAGTGAGGAGCCATTCGCAATCACAGAACTTTAACTAAAGCTGTGTATATTTTCACTGGCGCAGCTGAAAAATGGGAATTATCTTTTATATGCAAAATAGGTAAAAGTTGCGGTCATGCTGCTGACGGCATCTGTCCAGATCTCAGTGCTGCTACAAACTGTTTTGGCTCTTTGGTAACAGAGAATAAAGTCTTACCAGTCTTCTGTTGTAAATCAGGCTGTGCTCTAGCTGACTAAGATTTTTAATTAATGTGCTAGTGCAGAATTTGCATTTGATTCACAAAAGGCTCCATCCCGAGAAACGGTGAGTGCCACCTACACGATCGCTTTAGATGTCTGTACCAAGGTGGGACCAGAACCTGCCGAGATCCATTCAAAATTCCTGTTTGATCTTGGTTGGGTAATTAAGGACAGATTTAGGAACACAGGGTAAAACATAATTTTCTCCTACTCTATTAACATAACAGAAGCATCAAATTAAACCTAATGTTCATGGCATCCCACTGAAAGCTTTAAAAATCAATAATGATTTTGCTTTATTAGCACTTAGTCCCTTCCATTTCTTAAAGAATATACATTGTACAGCTATTCTGGGACTCTGCATTTGCATCATTTGATAAAAACCTGGTAACAGTCATCATTTGATACTGAATTTTTGAAAAATAACAACGGTGCTGCCAACCGTTAACAACACTGAGGTTGCGGGTTCGATTCCCACTCGGTCCCCATGTGTTGCCTGGTCTAGTCGAGAGGTGGCGTCCCTGCCCATGACAGGGAGGTTGGATTAAATGATCTCTAAGGTCCCTTCCAGCCTAGGCCATTCTATAATTCTATGATTCTATGAATATTAATTGTTTCTTTTAAATCCCAAATGATCACCATGCTATTTATGGACGTATTAATAAGAGTTACAGCTTGGTTCAAACCAACCTTGACTTAAGCCGTCCAGGCAGGACACTTGCTTAGTATCTAGATTTTCCACTGGATCTCCTCTAGAAACTTCTCCAAAAGATGTCTGCCTCTCAAAAATATTGTTGTTATTGTTAACCTGGCTCCCATTTTGCTTCATTAACCTGAAAACTTCTCCTTCCAAGTCTCTTATCTGAAAGAAATACAACACAGTGTTACCCATAACACACACACACATCTATTAGGTACATTTTTCCCCAGAAAATCAGATAGAACTGTCTCATTCTTCAATTATGAGAGTAATTCCTACTCACACGGGCTTGTAAGCCTTGAACCTCAGCAAGGTGCGCTTTCTCCAAATCTTCAATTTTCTTTCGTTCAGCTTCCTGGCGTTTGATGAAGTCAAGTTCTCTTAGGGGAAAAAAAAAAAAAAGAAAAAAAAGAAAAAAGATGCATTTGCTGTCATCAAAGCAATCAGATTCAAACAGAAAATAAAATTTTCTGCTATACCTTAAGCTACACATCAGAAAAATCTGTCCTTAACAACTATTATACTACTAACCTATCAAGACATACGACACTGCAATTAGGACAAAACCCCAAACAAGTACTTTGTCTAACTGAATATGTAGGTGAAAATACAAAAATGGAACTAATCTGAAAAAAAAAGTCTTGGTTGCTCTAACTGATAATAAAACCCCCTATTTTTTCATAATCTATATTTAACAGTGAAAATGTTGGCTTAGTTTATGATGTGCTCTGTTCTAGGAAATAGGGCAAAATCTCTGTTTTATTGGAGGCTGACTGCACTCCTTCACAGAAAGGACTTCCTTAAGTTTCCGGGTACAAATCCAATTTTCTAGTAACCTATAAGGGAATCTGTTAGGTGATTTTAGGAGTCTAGACAGCTAAAAACAACGGGTCAGGCCTCTGACTAATATAAAGCAGAGTAACAACAGAAAGACTATCCAGGCTCATTCCCTATTTCTTTTTATTTTGAAAATCTAAGACATTTATAATAGAAATCACACAAGCTGCCTGCTAGTTCTGGAATACTCATAGAATTCCCAGATGGGTAATGACATTTGGACTATTTAAAACCCTTTTTAATGGGACAGGATATTCACTCCCAGCTGTCACTTGACATTGCTCTATGTTTTTGAGTTTTCTTCTTAAAATGAGTATATTTCAGTAGAAAGTGAAAAAGTTGCTGAAAGAAAAAAAAAAAAGAAATTTAGGGGAATGGAAGCTGTTATGGAAAAGTAAGATGATGTTATTCCTGCTAGCCCCCAGGGAGAGGGGGCTACACTAAACAGTGGGGGCAGGTAATCATCAGCTCAACTCAGCTCAAACACTCTTGGGATCTACAAGAAGAAGAAAAATACAAAAATGTGACATGTAACAAAAAATGTAGTTTTGATGTTATGTTAGGAGGAGCGAATCCAGCTGAGACAACAGGAATACGAATTGCTGCAGACCTTGCTAATCCAATGCTTTCCTACGATTACTCCTGGTTGTTTGCACTCACACCGAGTTACCTGTTAGTTCTGAAACATTCCAGCCTGAAATACTACACATCAAGTCCTTATTTAGTTATATGTTTACTTTTCAACAATATTAAACTGACACTTGAATACTACTAAGCACTTTTCCATAACAAAGAGCCCGTGTTTTTCATGAAAAAAAAGGTGCAAAATAGTGTTTACCTTAGAGGTGTTTAACAGTGGGGTTCATATTGCAAAATACATCACATATTTGTTTCCTATCTGGCCACTAAGTCATTTGCTGAGCCTGGCGTAGCTGCTTACTTTTGCTGAAAATCCTTGATTAACTTCTTGGCCTTGTTGTATTTCTTCTCCAGAGCCTGATACTGGCTCTGCGTCTCCTTGAGGTGCTCATTCACCGTGTGACACAGGGTTTGGGCCTCGATCCAGTAACTCTCCAATTTCATCATCCTCTCCTTGTTCTCCTCGATGTTCTGCTGGAGCTGGGTCTTCTCCAGTTCCCACCTCACCTTCTCATTCTCAGCAGCCTGCAGCTGATGGCAAGAGTGAAGGCACAGTCACTAAAAAGCTGCAAAGAGCAGCCTAAGAGTTTAGGATTGATTCAAACAACATGAATAGCGAAAATCAGCAAATTAATAACTAACAGTAGTGTGCTAGCAGTGAGAAGAGCATTCCAGCACAAAGGAAACATTATTCTTCCTCATAAAACGAAGCAGAGCCTTTGCTCTGTGTTCCAGCGCAGCCTCCACGATGCTCTCGGTTATAATAATACACGTTAAAAAATTTCACTAGTGGCGTACTCAGGCACACTACAGGGTTAATCGGTGAGCAATAGGGATGTGTTTTGCTCTGTGCATGTGGTTCAAGTGTTATAAAGCATTCACACACCTTCATTAAGCAATGAAATTCCTTATTTTGGCAGGGCATCTCATTTCCAGGTTCTGTATTTGATTTAAGAATAATTCAGAAAACAACAGGACAAAAGTCAACCAGATCTAATCTATCTGCTTTTCACCCAAATTAGAAACTGTTCCCAATTCTTACAATGCCTCTTTCACGTTATAATTAAACTAATAATTCAAAATTTAACATTGCTTGCAACCTAGAATCTTTTTTTCATTTAAGCAAGCACAGAGTTTTATATCCACTGCTGAAACTATGCCAGAACTCTTAGAACGACAAAGAGAACCTGTTATAAATATATTACTCTTGCTTTGTCGGTTATTTTCACTTGCTTACTAAGTTATAAGGAGCTAATATGAAACAGAAGTTACGCCCCTGTTGTTTTAAGATTTCAGGTGCTAGTTCTGCCAAACACAACAGCACTGCGTAACCCTGTGACCAGGGCAGTTCCACTTCGGCACCAACGACTTCTTCCAAGTGACCTCAAAGAAGGAAATTTTCTGGTGGGAGAGAGGTGTCCCTGCCCACAGCAGGGGGGGCGGAACTACATCACCTTCAAGGTCCCTTCCAACCTGAACCATTCTATGATTTAAGTCTAAATTTTACGGCTGAGTTCGTAACCAACGTTAGCTCCTCAGCGACTTTGTTATGTGCTATTTTTTACGTGCTAGGCTTCTCACTTCTCAGCTGAGGTTTCTCACTTCTCAGCTGAGGCTAGCTGCAGGTTTCGATGCTCGGTGCTGGCTACGGGTAGAGTCGTTCAGCAGTTTGCCTACTTCAGCTCTCAGAATTTACAGAAAACAAACAATGCCTTAACATCCCTGTTTACTTCTGGAGACGGTTTTAATTTGCTCTGGGTAGCTCTACTAGCACTAACGATGACACACACACGCAGAAGATAACTTGTTGGCGGTTCTATTAGCAATATACCTCAACTAGTCACCTTTTCCTCAGCTCTACCGAAAGCACTAGGTAAAGAGATCCAACCCCAAAAGGCACGTTAACCCTCTTCGTGCAAAGGGATTCACCCCGATGAATGCTGACACCCACGCATCATCGTTGCCGACAGGTCGGTGGGGCTCAGCACAACCCCGAGGGATTGACCACGCGGCCCCAGCCGCTGCACTGGAAAGCAGAGCAAGAAAAAAATTCCGGCTTTCCAAGCTGAAACAGGGCAACAGAATCCGTCCGTGCAGAAAACAACTGCACTCTGAATTTGTTTTTAACACCAACGCAGGCAGCTTTGATAAACACCACGCAAAATCCACAGTGAGTGCAAATGTTGCTATAAAGAAATCATAATCTAAAATCTTTTCCTGAAGTGCAATTTTCTCTTCTTTTTATTTCCTTTATAATGTGTCAAACTCGGAGAGAAGGATGTTGTTACAAAACCTAATATTACTCAACAATACTATGATAACAGCTGACTTCCCATCAAGGTTATCCTAGCACAAAAAATGCAGTTCCTTTTTACTGCTATAGCCAATGCAATCTAGTAACCAGAAACTTATTGTACGATTATGTTTTCTTTTAAATTGGTAAGCTTTTTTCTTTCTGGAGTATCTTCTAAAGAGAGCTGCAACAATATGAAACAGTGGTTTTGGTTCTGAATATAAAAAGCAATTGTAATTAAATACCTGTAAATAAATGAGTTGATTTTTTATAATGTCAAAAAGAAGAAAAGTAGCTTAAACAGGATACTTTAACATCACTGGGAAATAGGAATATTTAACTAACTTAGATTTGAACGTTGAATCCAAATATAATTTTAAAATCTGAGAAAACGCATTAGAACTGTAAAACTAGAAAACTGCCATTTAGTTATTATGATGCCTCTAAAAACGTATGTTTAACTGAAGCTACACGAGTTGGCAGCTTCTCTTAACAGAAGCCCTTAAGATTTTTCTTGAAACTTTGAATAGAGACTATATAGCAAGACAAGCTGAGCCACTGTGCTTCTTAATCAGCCTTTAATAGGGATGTTGACTTCTCCACCCACATCAAGATACATGTCATCAGGTCTGATTTTCATGAGAGGAAAAAACCAGCACGTAATTAACAGCATATTGATTCTTACCTTTGTCTTCAGCTTCTGAATTTCAGCTTCTGTAACTGCATGTTTGATTTGCAACTAAAATTGAAAATATAAAATAAACAAGTGAAGTCACAGAGTACACAGTATTTTTAAAGCCCGTGCTGCAAGTTGAATACCTTATTGCATAGCAGAAGGCCTTGAAGAGTGCTGCAGTGCAGTAGATTGTAAATTAAAATGTCTAGCTTGCAAAATGACTCAGTCTGTGCAACCTAATTAAAGATAGGATGCCGTCTAACCACTCATAATTTCAAATCAGAACATCCAATCTGTTTAGCAAAACCAAATGTCTTATGCTCAAAAAAAAAAAAAAAAAAAAGAAAAAAGGAAGATGTTATCCTGCTGGGCTTTGCTCTCCTCTCCTGTGAACGTGCAAAACGCCCCAGTGCTGTCAGAAAGTCCCACTGCATTGATTAAAGCAGGCAAGCTACAAAAAAGCAAATACGGAAATAAGTGATTCAACAACTCAAGAAGTCAGGAAAACCTTGAGGGAAGATTCCACACGTTTATTTCATGCCAGAAAAAAAAAAAAAGGTAAATTGATGTTATCCTCCACCATTAACCGCAGTCATTCTGCTCAAGCTGATCTCGGCAGAGAGCAGTTACACGGGGAAATTGTAAAAAACAGGAAACGGCATTCAAGCACACAAAATGATTGCAAAGAGATTAGCAGCCCAGGCAGTGTGCTAGACGTTGTAGCTACGTTTCCGAGCAGCGTGCCAAAATAACAGCGGGTCCACAGAGCGAAAAGGGTCAGTGCCGAGGACCTGGCACCCACCCGCACGCCTTCCAGGCGGATTGCTCTCGGACTGACCGAACTCGGTCTGATCCCGTGCACTGAATACCCATTTGCTCTTTGAGAGTAGCAGGCAACGTGCCCGAAGATCTTTAGTTTCACCCCAAAGGTCTGCTTTTCGCAGGCTGCGAGAACACTCGGAAGTACGAATTTAATCAGTTTCAGTCTTGAAAAGAGAAGGCTCAGAGGGGACTTTATTACCGTACGGAAATAGCTGAGGGGTGGGGGTCAGGAGGAAGGGGACAATCTCTTCTCAGTGGTGCCCAGCAATAGAACAAGCAATAATGGGTTTAAGTTAGAACATGGGAAGTTCCACCTCAACATGAGGAGAAACTTCTCCTCTCCTGCTCTGGAGACTTTCCAACCCGCCTGGACATGTTCCTGTGGGGCTGCCCTGGGTGACCCTGCTCTGGCAGGGGGTGGCACTGGGTGAGCTCCAGAGCTCCCTTCGAACCCCAACATCCTGAGATTCCGTGATTCAGCAGCACCTAAGCCAACCTGAAACCCAACACAGGACTGCACCCGAATCCCTGCTGCTTTATTATTTAAAGCAGGTGGCACGTGTGCTGAGTAAGGAGTTGAGGGCAAAACCTGAATTCCAGCCAGAGCTGGCACTGCAGCAGAGACAAAGCCTTCATCCATTATTTAAGAATATGGAATAGAAATAGTTACGGAAAAACATGTTTTACATGGGGGTTACTTCTCCTACAAGACTAAGAATCCTTTGGGATTAGTTTATGTTGAGCTAATGGAGTGAGCGAGGGAGTTGTACTAAACCAGGAATTATCTCTGGGGAAGCAAAGGCTATACTCTTGACGACCAGGCTGTGAGTGAAAAAAAAAGTACAAATAATTCAAAAGCGAAGTTCTTCTGGAGGAGAGGAGTAATTTTCAAAACAACAGGAGCCATCACAGGGCTGATGGGTACAAATACCTTTGAGAAAGGCTGAGCTACTTCTGAAATTCCCTTTTCGGGGAGCCTCTTGCAGCGCACTGAGAAATAAATGCTCTCAGATGCAGTCTGATTTGCCAATCAGACTTAACTGGTCTAGTGAATATACCTAATCCTTTCTCATGGAGAATTACTGAATTTATGCTGGAAGGAATAAAGGAGACACTGACGCAACCAGTTCCATCTGAGGAACAGTTTAGGAATCCTCTTTCCAACGCTCATTTCCCAGTCATTGTCTCCAGAGGAGACTGTAAGCACTTCTCCTCCCCATGATCATCTGTTCCTCACACTCACTTTGTATTACGAATCTTCTAGTGCCCAGCGAGAGCAGATGCCAGATTCCATTTCAAATTAAACCAGTCTCCAGGAAACGCCACAGGAGAGCAGGGCTACTGGTCCAGGATGGGGAGAAGCATTAACGGCCAGTGGTGCTACTCCACCCCGGAAGCCAAGAAAGATACATACCTTTTTGTAATTATACACAGGAGAGGGAACTCAAAAGATACTTCGATCAACATTTGCAAGAGGTTACGTGCAATTTTTGAGCTCGCCCTGATCCGTGATTTTCAGAAATTTGAGAATTTTTTTTTCTCGTCGTCCCATTTCTGCTAGTAGTGAAAAATTATGGAAGAACCATCTGAAATTGTTAAGCTGCTTCTAAAGAGCCCAGGCCGTGGCTTAGTTCTGCCATCTCATTGTTCTGAAGTGAGATAAAATCAGGGGAAGGATGGATGAGCTAGATAATGAAATCAAAAAGCCAAGACTCAAAGCCTTAGGCCACCTGCCTACAGTCCCATCTCTTCTTGAACAGCCCCCACCCCATAATCAGCACTTAAACAGCTTATTATTACATACAAATAAACTCCAAATTGTTGCAATCTGCTCAGGTACAGATGGTTTTTAACAGTTATTTTTATACTCTCCGTTATTAAGTTAAAGGGATGAATACTGAGCACCCAGTCAGATTATTGAATCAGCCCATGGTACAGCAGAACCCACTGAGGCAGAACAACAAAAAAAAGACACTTTCCTGCCAAACAGACAAAATGTGTAGCGGGACATCTACTTTTTTTCTTTTTTTTAAAAGAACTAATTATGCTTGCAGAATAGATGAGAAATACTAACACATTTATAGGTTACACTGAACATCAGGCGAGTCAACTGCTTGGCAAGCAAGTCTGGAGTTTTTTTTTGAGCAAGTTCACTAATAGGGAAGCAGAAATACCTTATTCCATGTTCTACATAATGCCAGACAAATTCTTGGCAGATACTATTTTACATTTTTATGTTTTCTAAGAAAACGTAAAATTGCGAAGGCTTTATTGAAACAAAGACATGTCAAATATTTTTTGGCACATTTCCTTTGCAAAGATGTCTGATTAACTTTTCTGATTTTTCTGATTTTTCTGATTTTTCTGATTTTTCTGATTTTCTGATTAACAATGAAACTTTTAAAAAAAACGCGTTATAGAGAAAAAACCTGATTGAATTCCTAAGACTGCAAAAGGTAGAATGGCATGAAAAGCTAGTAAATGTTAAAATATCCAGAGTACACTGTAAAAGAAAATACCCAATGGAATTTAACAGTTTCCATGACATTTTTAATATAATCATTACGTATTTCTAAATGTAATAATAATTCACTTTTCATACATTTCATTAAGACATTAAATATAATACCTAATTTTTACATAAGATGTCCTTCTCTCTATAAATCTTGTCTCTCTTCAATCATCACAGATAAAACAGAAGTTTCTAGCTCTTTCTCTCCAAGAAGTTAAGAAAAATCAGTCCTATTTTTCCTGTTTTACAGCCAGGAAAACAAGACTTGCAGACCTACAGTGATTCACCCGGAATGCCCATCTCCCTTCTGACTCCCATCCCAAAAGCAAGGCATTTCAAATAAAAGTATTCTTAGAGTACACGAGCACATTTTTTTTTCCTTGCAAAGACTGAATTCAACTAATTAGGTCAAACTATTATGCTTAAAGATTATGTCCAACCCACTTCTTTAATACTTCCATTAATCTCTGGAGTAAGGACAAGAAAGAACAGTTATTCTTTAAATACAATTCCCGAAAACACTGTGTGGGCTTGTGCAGCGTGATCATGAACAAGTCCTCTAGTGTTGAAAGAATTTAGGGCAAATACCAAGAAAAATACATGTACTCACTGTAGCAGCCAACAAAACGCAGCTGTGTACTGTTAAATACAATCAGTGACACGCTCCTAACAGTGGTAACTGCGTGGGTTAGAGAAAAGGAGCCCGGTCTTATGCAGGAACATTTAATATTTTCTTCTCAGGCTCTCATCTCCCCTTAAATTGGAGGATCTCAAAGTCCCTTAATCTCCTCTCCTCTACACCAGGACTTTGAGGTCATTACATCGGACAGGTTTGCAAAGAGCTTCACAGTTTGGACACACTAAAATATGGGAATAGCCCAAAGTTGTATTCCAGCGTAGCTTTACGGGCACTTTATTGAAAGGTCTCTGTCCCGCCCCTCAGTGCACGGGTGCTGTGCACGGCCCCGGCACAACCAGAACGGCCGCATCTTCCTCCTGCTTTGAGAAAGCATCGCTGGGTATGATGCCAAGTATTAGAAAACGAAGCAAAGCGGTTCGCTAATCTGCATCGGAGCCTGGAACTTGAAATATGGAGTGAGAAAATTATCATTTAGGTAAAGGAAGAAAAAAAACCTTGCAGGAAGCAACAAGGAATACCAGTAGGCATCTGAAGGCTGGAAAGGGTATCGGCAGAAAAGGGGAAGACTGGCTGGTCACTGACTGATTACAGTTCATACACTACCTCCCTTCAGAGTAGTAAAAACATATATTTACAGAAGATAAAATATCTGGTTTGCGTGGAGGGAAGGGGAATGGGTGAGGACCGGGGAAGAAGGATGAAAAGAAAGTCTCTGTATTTTAGAACTCCTTTCTGGCCCCAGGTGCTTCTGCTTAAATCTATGAAGTTCTGGCTGTTTTTACCCCTTCCACCTTCCTGTATTTAAAAAGAAAAATTCTCTTTACTGTCATCACGGAGCCCATTACTGCAGGCTTGGATGAATCCAATTGCTTCATGTCTTTCCTTGCATTAGAATTTGGGAAAGCTCAGAAATGAACCACAACAAAAGCACAGCCTCAAACAGAGAAGCGATGTTTCTCAGTACTTGGGTATGTTAAGTTACATGAATTTAATGACTGCAGCGGACACACAAATGCTGTAACCACGGAGTTTTCTAAAACACCAGCTTGAAATATTCCTGCTTCCTCAACACAGCATCTTTCTAAACACATGGCCAAACATACGACACTGCGCTATCAGCCGCTGCGTAACGGTACACAATGAGCTCCACATGTCCCTTTTCACTGAAAATTCCCATTTGCTCTTTGGTTTTTCTGATCACTTTTAATTGGAATCTTACCAACACTAACCGAAAAAAAAAAAAGCAACCTGCTACTAATGAATTACCTTGCACTTTGTCTTCCTTGTGAAAAAATGCAAAGTGCTGAGGCAGAATAACGTCTGTGCTCAAAACCTGAACTGCCCTCCATCAACACAACAGTCACCTGAAAACTGGTGCTAAAACAACTCCGAAGAACAGTTCCACTTTGAAGCAGAACTTTTTGAGTCACTCAGAAATACCTGTATAGAAATCAACGCCAGTTTTGAAGACCAAAACCAAGCACTGAGCAATGAGATAACTAGAAATCAAACTCCACTGAGATATTTCAGGGATATTTTCTGATCTGTAACTTACCTCTTTGAATTTGTGAGCAAGCTTGCTGGTGTCCACATCACTGGGGGAGAACATGTCATCGTTTTCCGGGAGATCAAACACTTCAATAGCCATGTCACCTCCCGGAAGGACAGGTCCCATGTCTTCATCTTCTTCATCTGTAGCATATTCCCCTGTCTTAATTTTATAGCATTTAAGAAATTCCAGTTATCCTCTTAGAGTAATTAATCTGCTGTGTAAACACAGCATACTGCATACAAAAAAAGTTTTATCTTTTTCTTCAGCTATAATACCAGCACGTACGAATCGTACTAGACAAAACATAACTCCATAATAGTATTTCAGGACACTGCGAGAGGAAAACAGTGTCTTAAGCACTAAGATTTAGTGCACTAAAGACTGAGTGCTTTAGCGTTATGGCTCTATAATTCAATGTTTTTTATCCTTTTCCAAGTGAGGTCTCTTTTCCATAGGAAGACCTCTCCAAATTTCTCTCAGATTTAAGAAGGAACCTTTTCCAAATAGAAATAAAAGCAGAATAGGACCAACAGGACCTTGACCAGTCTGGAGGAAGTAATTCTCCAGTGATATTCCATGTTGAATTTCAAAATCCTTTGGTTTGCTATTTGTAAACAACAAATAGCGAAGTCGCTCCCACACAGAACGACAACAGCATGAAAACGAAACCACGTGGCAGAGAAAAGCTCAGAGACTGAGGTCAGAGATGACTGGATTTGCACCCTGAAGGAGGAGCTGCTTCGGGCTAGTTTTAAACAGAAAACACACGCGTTTCTTGGGCTGGTAAACCATGAGATGCAAACAACTTGCTGATAAAACAGAATTTAAAACAAAAATCATAAGCTACACGCTTAGTCTCAAGACTAAACAAAGTAAAACTCTGGAAATGAACAGAAAAAGCTTGCGGTATCAAACCCCGAGATGCCTCGCCAATCTTCTGCTCCTACACCTGTGCTCTTCCCTCCCCGTGCCCGAGGCGGCTGGGTACCGCTTTGCTTCCGTGGGGCTCCCTCTGGAAGCCAGAGTAATCGGATCGCGGAGAGCCTGCTGGCTGTGCAACCAGCTGAGAACAAATTATAAAGCAAACACTTCCTTCAGGACCATCTCTGGATTTATGGAGCTTGGGACTCAATAATGGGGAAGGGGTGCAGTCCTTCTCACGTTCATACGGTTGCAACACCAAAATTTTGACACTACTTAAGTTTTTGATCGTGAGCTTTGAGGTCCTGAGGTGAAGGCACATAATATTGTCAGCACAAGTATATTATTCCCTGTAGTGCTAGGATTATCTATTAGTGTCATTTTTCGTCAAAGGAAATTTTCAAAACAACAGGTAAGAACCCAGCTGTCCGAACAACAGCTCAAATCTCATCTTCCTACCTTAATTTAGTTTCCCAGCTGTTGTTTAGGCTTATGCAAATCTCCCTCAATTAAAAAGCAGTGCATGGAAGCATGTTAACTCTAGGTGCACAAGCACACACAGATAGAAGAGATGTATGTATGCATCCATCAACAGGGTGATATATTTGCAATAAAATATCACCATTTCTTGGCTAAAGAGCACACAGAACCATAGAACGGTCTGGGCTGGAAAGGACTTCTAAAAATAATGAAAAATCTATATTCTCTTTCTAAAAACCATTAAAGCTTTAAAAATCAAAGCCAAAACACTGAGAAAGCACAGAAAGATTTGGTAAAATATTCCGATGTTAAAAGAAGTTTCAGAAAGAAGGTAAGTCACCAACACACGTGACTCACTTCAAATATCACTGTTCACGTGAGCCACTTCTGCCTCTATAAAGAGTTCCATGTTCTCCAGTGAAATAAAGACTGACCATTTATTTTCCACACTTGAGACATACTGAGAATCTCAGCAGTTTTCAACAAAAAAAACCCAAAGCTAACAGCTGGTTTTACTTCTTTTTTCTTTACTTAAAACAGAAGGGAAGAACACACAAAGACACACACTGGAGTTTCCAGGCATCTTAGCGTCAGAACTAAGCAAAACAACACCCGAAATTATCATTCTGTATGTCTAGAACTCACATGCACACAGGATCTTCTGTTACACTACACCTGGAAAAACTTCTGTTTCTATTTTATTCCCCATGGCTACGAGCAGTTGCAGAAAATTAGGCTGCTAACTCTCCTGGCTTTTCCCAGGAGCGTGTGACACCACCTTCACACACCATTAAGGTGGTGAGAAGAGACACAACTAACAAAAATCCCAGCAAGATACCAATGAAATGAATTATTGTGCAGACGAAATAACCGCACAGTCCACGTACTGTCAATTTTGCAGTCATTATCCCTGAAAAGGCTATAAGGTGCTACACAACTGTCATTTCTGCAAGAAAATACCATCTTGGCAAGTCCATCAGCAGTGGCAAGGAAATCTCAGAAGTATGTGAAGAGGAAGCAGAAATAGGATCGTTAACTAGCAAACTCATGCCCAGTTTACGTAAAAAACACCGACCTGGCTGAGCTACACATGCATTTTAAAGGAACGTATTAGTTTCATGCAAAACCGTAATTGCAGCCACCAGCTTCAGAAAAAGAATAAACCAGATTAGTTTAGTTAAAGCTGGCTCCTCCAAAGACTTAAAACAAAAAAGAAGCACTTCATACAAGAAGAAAAATGAACACATACGAAGGGCTAAGTTATACCGGGGAAAAATATTCTTCTGGCCTCAGGAGCCAGAATTGCTTGAAGAGGGACATCAGGCAGCTTAAAACGAACACAAAGGAAAATCTTGCTTCAAACTGCACATAAGGAGATAGACACAGTCATTTTTGCTTCAATTAATGCAAAAAGTAGTCATCAAAGCAAAGTAGGGCAGTTTGTTGAAGTAAACAAGACAGCAGGATGACACAAACACACTACAGAACACAGAAATAAATGGGGTTTTGCTTTCGTCTTCAGAAGAAAGGGATCCGATCTTACGATCACACGAAACACAAATTACGGGATCAAAAGAAGCAACGCGTGCTTTAAGGAAAAACATGTCATAAACTACATGAAACATACTTTCCCTGAAAAAATTCTCTCTGAGGACTTTTGTTTCACATGAAACTACTAAAAGGTTGTTTGGACCCTGCGCCCGCAAGCTAGAATGGGAAACCTGGTGTTTTACAAGAAGCAGCAAGGCACAGACAAAAGTTATTTTACTTCAAAATAACAAAGTCTTTTAAGGGAACACTTGTTTTTGTGGCTGCCTGAGGTTCATTGCAATACATTTTGTTTTCTTAGCAGACAACAAAACCAATATTTTTTTACTCAACAGTCAATGAAAACTTGCTCTTGAAAGAAAATCTCAGACCCTTCAGTGTGCGCTGGCGAGCAAAATGCATCCAAGCAAAAGACCTATTTCCCGTTTCGGTAGCACCTTAGGCTTAGGCTTACCCCACCTACAGCAATGCCTTCTGATACGAGCCACCCAATTCTGCTATACTGTCACAGAAAATAGCATGAAATTCTCTTTACTAACATCAACTGCAATTGCCCACTTTAAAAGGGAACGTGTGTTATTCACGTTGTTTAATTGACTTGTAAATTCTTGAAACTGGCCGAACACTGCCAAGCAGAAAGAAGCAGTGAAGCGGCACCATGAGGCGCAAGGCAGACAGACCTTCCCCAAATCACCCTAACAAAGGCTGCATCAAGCTAAACCTTTAATTTGTGCCGAAACTCTCCCACAATCAGGGAGCACCCTTTGAAGAACTACAGAAATAACTCAAGCCCATCCCTTTGTTTGATTTTTTTTTTGGACGGTTTATACTTAGTCCTTTCAAAAGAGCCAGGAAAAAAATAATGGTATAATATCAATCATTGCTTTTACAGGGGTACTTCATATTAATGATGTTGGAAAAATTGTATTTTCTGAAAGATCCTGTTTATCATACAATCATAGAATCACTCAGGTTGGAAAAGCCCCTTGGGACCACCAAGCCCAACCACTAACTCTGCTCTGCAAAGCTCAGCCCTAACCCAGCTCCCCCAGCCCCACATCTAAACGGCCTCCAAACACCTCCAGGGGTGGGGACTCAAATGTATTCTTTGGGTGTTGGACATTCAAGCACATTGCAATATTTTCGTGTCTTGCCTTCAGTGTTTCTGCTCTCAGAATTTCCTGATAACTGAGAATTAAAAATGAAAAAATTATTCAAATTACTATTAGTGATATTAAAATACAATAAAATATCACTTGCCTAAAAGTACTCATCCGTGGCCGCAAGGTGAATAGAATTCTGCAATATCTTATTAATTTCACATCCTACATCACTATACACAGGTCATCTGCTTTACGTGACTTTTGCCATTCACTGTAGAACACGAGTAAGGTAATACCATGTTCAAATAAAAATTCCAAGAAATGGCAGAATTTGACTAAGATGTGCAGAGAACACCGTGTTAGAACAGAGAAGTCGAAAAGTTTCTGCCAGGGATACAGATTCAGGCTGCACTTACCACACTAAGTGGGAAATAAAAGCCTGCAGAGATGTGGGGCATTTATATGGTAAGGGATGTTTCTCTCAGGATTACTTATATAGTGAATGATGTATCTTTTGGAAACTATTACTGCAAATCTTCCCCAAAAAGGAACTGCCATGTAACATTCCTGTAAAGCAAGGGAATGAGAAGTTACAGCAGGCTAACGAGTGTCTCCCTATTTTAGCATCCGAGTCAAGTCCAGTGCACGCGGGCTGGCACAAGTCTCAGTAACGCTGCTATTTGAAAGAACTGGGATAATTCTGAAATAGCAAGGTGCTGCCTGGGCTATGATGAAGACTGTCCTAAGTTTCAAACCAGAGGACATTCAGCCAGCTGGTGGCACAGCAAGACGGAACACCAGGACTTGCCCACGCCCGGTACATGTTCTCTTCCTGTGACCTAACCAGCTCCACCAGACACAGCGGCGTGCAGTGAGCCCAGGACTCAAACACAGATCATTTGATTTCCTGCTCCGGAAACCTGAGAGGTTACTGCTGTCTTTGGGACAAAGTCTCTGAGGCTCGGAATTTGACAAACTCAACGAGGGCGCTGAATAAAGCGCTGAATAAAGATCATTTTCTTGTTTATTTATGCAGCATTGTAGCTGGAGATCCATGACACCCTATTTTAAGAACAGTATGAAAATGAACAGTTTGATAGCTCTGAGACTGAGAATCTCCTGTATAATT